TAAAAGCGGTTAAAAAGTCCACTCGGAAGGAGAATTAAGAGGTAAGGCAGAGCTGAGTCCAGAGCTGTGTTGTGCTGACACTCTTCAGAGATATTTGGAAGGGAGGAATGGAAATTAAGAAATTACAAGAAAAAAATGTCTGGGGAGAGGAACGGAGACAGGGCAATGTGAGAAGCAACCAAAGAAACCATGTATAGAGAAGCAGATAGAGATGAAAATAAAGACCGGGGAGTCAAAGGAAGTGAGGCCAATGAAGGAAGGAGGCAGCTGAGAAGAGTAAAGGAGTCAGAAAGGTTAATAGACTGGAGATCCCAAAAGGAGTGAGTGACAGGGTAGAGGAGAGAGAAAGACAGATAAGCTGAGAGAGAGCAGGTAGTGATCAGAGAAAGGGAATTTAGAAATGAGAGATAATAAAGTGAACAGTATTTAGCAAAGACAAGGTCATGGGAATGATTGAGGCAGTGAGAAAATCTGTCTAAAACTAGAAATCAAAGGCGTCGGGCTGGAAAAACAGAATGAAGAACAATGGAGTTAAGTACTTACCAGGGGGAAAAAAAAAGAAAAAAAAAATAGGGCTTGCCCATGGCGAGGGATAAAATTTGAGAGGACAGAAAGGGGCTGAGTTTAGCAAAGTCACAAAGGAAGAAGCAAACTAATGGCCACTAGGAAAACTAGACACAGAGGACTTCAAATCAGGAAGAGGGTAGAGCAGACAACAGGACAGATGAAGCAGAAGTAGTGGAAGACAGGAATCGTAGCACTTCAGAAGTGAATATGAAAGGGAAACAATTTTTTAAAAGCATCAACTGAAGAACAAGGTTCAGGGAAGGGAATAAAGTTTGAAGAAGAACCTTGAAAATCTGTATCTGAGTCATGTTTGGAAACATAAGTAACACCCTGCTGGGCATGCCCAGCACCTGTATTTCCCTCCTTGGGTGACCTTGGCAGAAAGGTTTAGTTATTCACCCAGACCAAATCAGAGATCAAAAATTCAGAAGACCAGCACTGGCTAGATGATGTGGGGATATGGCGGGGTTGGAAAAATTTTTGACTGTTAAAGAAGTATTAACAATGATGGAAAAGCAGTGATTTGAACTCTGCCATCCAGCACCTTTACTTCCAGATTAAATTAACTCTCCACAAAGCCAGACTTGAAGGCCTTCGTTGACTCCCCCTCACATCAACCTCCTGTTCCTAGAAGCTCAAATACCTGACACAGCATTCACCACCAGCATTCAAATTCAGCCATTAAGATTCTCATCTTGCTGTATAACAGCAAAGACGGAGATTAAGCGGACAGATTGTTGAAAACAAACATCACTGCGATTTTGGGTCCCATTCAGAGATATCTGAGAACCACTGGCATAAGAAGTCCTTCCCCATTTCCAAGCCTCTGTCAAGAATTTCACTCTATGGCTTTCTTAATCATGAGCATGAATAAAACACCAGCCTTCTCAGACACTTCTAATACTGCATTTCATCTTCCGGTGTATTGGCGTGTTTTTAAAGTTTCTGCTCATTACAAAAAGACAACATACTTCTATTGCCTGCTCGTACAATTGGTAGCTGGATCATTAAAGTGCAACAGAGGAGGGGGGGAAAAGCACATTATTCCCTGTTACCAAGCTAGTGACACACAGAAAGTCTAAGAAGTGAGCTGAGCACATCATTTCTATATACCTTACTGATTACTATTTATTCATGTGTGCATATGAGGTTCACTCAAAATTACTGAAATTGCATAAAAACCAGCCTACCTATAAACAAGAGCTGAGGCCTGAGGCCTCAGGACCCAGTCCCACAGGACTGAGGCCATAATGGGTGGTCTTTGTTATTTTTATGCCTTTCAGACATTTTTATATGGTTTGAAAATAATTTTATATTTGTTTTGTAATTTTAGATAAAACCACTCTTGTGGGTTAATTGTGAATAAATTGTGAAATAATTGTGAATTACATAAATTTTTGACAAATAATACAAAAAAGATTTTTTGAATGTACTGTCTTTTGTTACCGTCAAGAAAACTCACGTATTATCAACTACTGGAAGCAGTAAACTGTCCACAAGATAGGTAGCATCTACTGTAACATATATATATATATGTAACAAGAAAAGTCTGAAAAATTATCATAGAAACACTACCATTTTTACATTATATTTAACATCTGTATGTTTTATTTCTATTAGACTACTGCACAGCAGGAGAGCTTTCAAGACAGGACAAAGATTTTATGCAGTCATTCAAAGCACGAAGTTTACTCATGAAGCACATTAATACTGTAGAGTTACCAAAATAAAAGGAGGAGCTAGTCAGACATTTTGGTTAGCAATGTAGTATGTTCTCTTTAAAGAAAATAAACATATAATGCCATAGCTTAAAATAAATAGTGCCAAATGTCACCATCAACAAGGTTTGAAAATTAGAATGGTGTTTTATGAAAGAAAATATTTTGTAAGTGCATAGCACACATGGGAGTGTTATAACAGACTTACCATTTTCATGTTACTAGGTGCTTTACTTAGGGGATGGATTCTACAATCCCCAGCTATATAAGCAGTTCTATTAACCCGTATGGGCTTCTTAATTGATAACGTTTGGTACCAGAGTCACCTGTACCATTCATTTTACAGATTTTAAAATAGGAACAACTATTTCATTTCCTCAGCACAAGATTTAATCATAAATACAAAAAATTCAACAATAACATTTAAATGCTCAAGTATGCACATTTGCTAACTCTTAACTCGTGATTTCTTTACTCAATATATCCTTCCAGACAGGAGGGAAAAAAATAAATCTATTATTGGTTTCTTTCAGGAAAAGTTCAATACTTGATGCATAATATTAGATGCAAATAGCCTGAGTGTGTTGGGTTTTTTCAGTGATTTCTAAATGTTCTAGTACATTAAATAAAAATTAAAAAAAAAATGGTTTGACTACTTGTGCATATTAAGAGCTAATCCTGGCAGTCAAGCAAGCATTGTGCTGCCTTTTTCAATACAAAACCATTTCATTCTATGACATATGAGCTATTGTTATAGAACAGAACCATCATTTTTAAAATTCAATAATCAGATAATAAATGAAAACAAACCTAGAGGTTGCTAGACGCAAACCAAGGTTTCTCAAATGCTTCCTCCCTACAAATTGTTCCACTGAAATCCTACAAGATTAGGTATAGACAGAAGCTAGAAGGAAAACTAAGGATTCATCCTACAAAATGTGGAAAGAAAAATTACAAAAAGAATAAAAATGTATGAAGATAAGCTAAAGATCTGGCACATATTATTTAAAAACTCCTGTATTTTCCAAACACAATTTGCACAGTATTGTAGTTTTAAAAAATATAAAACCAAGAAAACCCTGACCTAGATTGAACATTTCATCCACAAACCCCACAGCTGGATTTTTATGCTTTGAGCACTATATCAAAACAAAAATTAAAGCTGCACAGAGAAACAAACAAAAAATCTAAGCGTGCAGGGAACTGACTGCATCTAGAACCTATATGTGTCTGTGTATGTGCATACCGCTGCTTTTATTTGAACTAACTTCTTTCTACCCACATAAGGAAAAAGATTTAACTGACTGTAACAGCTTCTTAGCAATATCACTGGTAATAATTATGTTTTGACAGTTCTGTATAAAAAGTTCAGTCTTGAAACTCAAGAAATTTCAGTCCATGCTCCATTTTTACCACATTTAAAAACAAGACATCTTCCTTCCTTAGCAATAAAAATATTATTTAAGCATACCTGAAAAGGTACTAAGGTCTAACAAAAATATTCTTAATTTCCTTTTCAACTAATAAAGTGTTTGTAAGACATTTTGCATATATATTTATTTCCCAAAGGAAGAAGTGGCAACTTTCTCTTTAATATAAAAGCTAAAATTTACTTTTGCTAAATATAAAACTAATTCTCAGGAGATCGTATACAAAACCAGGTATTCATGAAGAATACATTTTGTGTTATACCACACTGTTATACCATTTACCAAAAGGTTTCCGTATTTAAAAAAACAAAACAAAACAAAACATTTTAAAATTTAAATATACTGTAAGGTCATTCAAATTATTTTAAACACAAAAATCTACAAACTGTGGCATATACATAAACAGTTGGGAAGTTGGAACTTAAAGATTGCATCTTTTAATCAGACCTTCTCATCAACACCAGCCTCAAAAGAACCCTATTTGCTACAAGAAGCATCTGCATGGTTTTAAGACTTAACTATGCAGACTCCTATTGCCCCAGGGCAGTGCTGCACAAGACTATTGAAAAAGATCAGACTGCAGAATCAACACCTTAAATTTTCCCAGAAAACCTCCAACAAATGTTTTATGTGCATTACGACAAAATAACAAAAGAAAAAAGGATGTTACAGAAATTTCAGCGTGACAATTTTTCCTGAAACTATGTTCCCATCACATTTGGCAAGCAGAGAACTAATCCTATCGCTCGTCTACTCTTACGCTGAACGCTGCAAACTACAATTCAATATAAAATACAATAACCTTCTATAATAATTATGTCCCTCTTAGAACAACAATTAAAATAAAGTTAACTGTGCTGATTCATACTTTCCATAAATTACTAAAAAGGTGAGAGATTCAGACATTTTGCTTCTGGATAATAAGCCTAATATCTGTATCATGTGCAAAAGTGCAACTGTGTTTTAGAACTGAGGCCCAACTGAACACAATTTTGTTATTAAAGAAAATACACTTGAACCCACTTAACATGGAAAACAGTGGTTCTCGGTATCTTTTAAAGTTATGCTTTACATATTTAAACTTGTTGTAAAACTGCAAGTTAGTACAAAATACAAAAAATAGAAATAAACAGAAAACAACAAAGCTTGTATATAAATTGGTTTACAATTCAAAGCACAACAGTAAGCTTCAAATAATTACATTTCAGTAACACACAAAGAGGTGGGATGATTTTCTTAAAATACTTGGTTATTTCTGCTTTTTTCTTCATGATCTGACGTCTGTTTAGCTGCTCGCAGTGTGTGCGTGCATACGTTTCGCTACATCATAGACATAGGTTATGTCTGGTCGCTTCTCTGGATCCGGGTTGATGCACATATTAACTAATTGTCGCAGCTAGGAAAAGAAAAATAACATGTAAGAAAGCCAATGATCCTGTCAATTCGTATTTGAGCATTATCAAATTCAAATTAGTAAGAGTGGCAAAAATTAGCCAAAATAGCAATTCTGCGTAAACACACACACTCAACCCTCCCTCTCGACACACACTGCACACAGTTTTACACAAGCATGTATGCAACACACTCCTGCGACTTTTACATTTTGTACTGTTGTCCAGAAAAACTGATGAACAGATTTCAGTTCTAATCCTTTTAACATTCAACTTCAGACGCGCGTTTAGTCCCATTATACATCACTGAAATGAAAATTCCTGCGCTTTTGGAGGGCTATGCCTGCAAACTGCAGAAGGCTGAAACTTGCACTGAGAAGGTAAATTGGGACTGTCTGCTCAGTCTCTCCCCATACAAGAGTTAGCCAGCAATAAATGGCATTGCTGCGTGACAGGCTCCTACAAACAAAAGGCAGCGACTCTCCTTATAACGCACAGTTAACCTGCAGAACCCCCTCTTGCTGGAAGCTACCAATACACATGCATTCAGAAAGCAACTGAACAAATTAAACCCACTGAGGGCTATTTAATATAAAAGACTCCACCTGAGGAAACCTCTGAACTTAAAACTGGAAGCTGGAAAAGTATTTTGGGGAAGTATTACATTATGCTGGCCCTGGTACTCTACTTCCCCAATGTTGGAGACGTGATACTGGAATAAGTAACCTTTGGTCGATATCTCAGTATCTATTCTTAGGATTAGATAACTGATTTTTTTCTTTACAGAAAGAAGCACATAATTAACAAACATGTTCACGGAAGCCCCTATCTGGGAATAAACAAGTCACTATGTCTAGAAAACTGCAAGTTTCCACGAGGACTGTAATTTATTGAGCCTTCTATAGCACACATATTCAGCTTCCACGCTGCTTGGATACTTCTCATTGCCTCCACAAACTGGAGGAACAGGTACAGGTTTTTCTTCCTTCCTTGATATACCTAAGAACTTACGACATTAGAACTTAGTATATTGTCTGGATAACCTTCTGATGGAGCATCTATTTTAAACTGTGTGCATCTCCTAAGCATTTTGCAACATGGAATACACCTGCTTCATGACAACTTATTAAAACTTTACAAAAGCAACTTAATCAACTCTGAAGCTCTTCCTTTATGCTTTTTAGCAGCTTTGCCAAGTCTTCCTGGATCTCGTTATAGCATGGGGCGAGGGGGGACGGACACACCACAAAAAAACAAAAAATCACCTCGTGACCCACCCTTCTATAGTAATGTGTAAAATTTGGTTCAGTACTATTAGGTATGACCATTGAAAAAAAATCTGTAATTATTGCAACTAACACAGAGCGACCTTGTGATCATGATTATTCAAAAGCAACATAGATTGCATATTCAAATCTGCCATCAGAGAGTTTCCTTTCTGCTTTATACAAAAAAAAGACCAAGAAGGATTTTAAATTATAATTGTAGTCCTTTCACTTTTTAGAAGATTAATTTAAATGCACGGGAATAGAAAGTCCAGAAGTTACGTAAAAAACATTGCATACCACTATTTAAAACCTCGTCCATTAGCCCTTGCAGAAACATTGTAAATTGTATACAACGTACAGGTTTTTCATATTTAACAATGCAAAAACTATGTCACTAGGCATCTGCCTTCTTTAGCAAGAAAAGCTTAAAATTTAAAAATGAGATCATTAATTCTGAAGATAGTGGTCAGATTGCTGGATTGAAAAGAAACATATCAAATCAAGATAATCTGTAACAGACTTGCTATTTGAATCTTAAATACGCTAAGTATATTTTGACTAATGGAGTTACAAAAGCCATCATATTGCTTCCGACAGCCAATAAATAAAATACAATACCACTGACAGGAAAAACTATTAGCCTGTAATAACCCCCAATCATTTGGAGAATAGAATGCTGGAAATCATGAACTACTGTAAGAAAAAAATAATTGCCAACATGTAATACAAATATGCAAAGCAAAACAATCTCCTGTAGAAGCAGCAGCTGGGACACAGCGTAAGCAACAGGCACAGTGTGTCAGCAGAGACGAGCAGCTTGCTATGCAACACCTCAGACAGCCTGAGCGGAAAACAAGAAAGACTGAAGAACATCCAAAAACCCCAACCCTGAAATTAGACTCAAATAGGTAAATATTTTGTAAAGAGAATACAAGTGTAATTTATCTGGAGACTGCAACATTGAATCTTGTACGTATACATTTCTCTTTCTCTGTGAAGCCTTCCATCTGTTCAATAGAACTGCATACAGTAAATAAAGTCTCAGTAAAAGACCTTGAAGGATAGAAACCTATAAAGCTACCATCAGAGGGGAAACAGCATATTCTTTCTCATCTTTTTACTAGCTGTGTACCAATAACTTCACTGTATGTAGAACAACAGAAGTAGACCTTCAAGAAATTAACCTGTGAAAAGCACGAGAAGCCGCGTTTACCCCCAGTAGGCTACTTCATGTCTTTTCAATCTTGGCCTGTGGGTAACTCTGATTTAGTTTTCTAAACTGAACTGTGTCATCTAAAAATCAATGTCAGACCCACACTGTTTGCTAAGTCATTAAATAGGAAGCCTTCTTCAGAGTTACTTTGTTACTTGTTACAGTATATTACCATTCAAAGCTTTAATAAAACAGCCAAGAAGATTCATGGCTTAGAAAGACACTGTAGCAAACCAGCGTCATTACTCAAAAGTACATGTAAGGCTTTAGGTCCTATTAATCCCTGTAAGTACACTTCCAGAATCCATTCACCCACATGATATTTTGACTGGTGGCTTTTTGCAGCTTCTTTTTTTTTTTTTCCACTCTAACCAAAATGCACATGTAGGTACTATTGTTAGGATGCAAGAAAGGATCTGCAAGAATATATTCATAGAAAGGGACAGTCACTGAATCAGTTTACTCAGAAATCCTCTTTCCAACGTAGTGCAAGAGGTGAGCTCAATTAGTAACAAACCTTCACTATTACTGGAATAAAATAAACAACAGAATCATAGATCTCTTTTGGCTGTGAGTCTTAGCATTTAAGCGTTGGTCACTGCTATTACTGCAAAATCTTCCCCTTCCCTGGTCCAGAATCCAAGCTGTAAGGCAGGAACACTGAGCTGACTATGCTTGGGACACTGCACAATGATAGTACAGATTCCTGAGTAATTTCACAATCCTTGAGCTCTTTTGAGCCTTGTTATTGAACAGCAAACCTTTGGGAGAAGGTGAATTAATTTTGCTGTACAGGATAAAAACAGTTATGCAGGAAGACAGCCTTTCAGGACTGAAACTGGGACCACACTGGATGCTAATACTTGATTATAGCACTATTTGTTTAACTCCTACAGCAATATCCATTTCAATAAACCTGAAATCCATTTGTCAAGCCTTTTAGTATTAATGAAATTTCCGATGTAGCAGAAGAGCCCAACAGTACCCTGGGAAGAAGCACTGGGATTCTAAAGTCAGACTATCGTTAGAGTAATTTTTTTATTATCTGGCACAGACTGGCCAACAGGCAGAGCAGACTTATGACTGAGCTGGAGGGACCTCCTGTTGCATCCCCAAGCTGTAAACTTCTTCGGCTGCTTATTGTTCTTAACCTCCTCTGTGCACTTCGCCCAATGACTGTCTTTAGCCTGGAGCTTAGCCTGACATCGGAGCAGTGGGACACACTTTCTTTAACTTTAACAGGTTTTTCAGCTATGAAATAAATAATTATCACTCAAGTCAGGAGGATGGGGGAGGAAGACAGAACTATGACAGGTGAATACTTTGCATTGATAGCCAGCTGAAAAACAGAAATTTTCATATAGGAAATTTTGGAGGGGAAAGAAAATCCACAAACTCTTCTTACTCCGAAAAGGAGACCTCTTGAAGTCCTTTCTCAGTGTTCTTCTCAAGCCCTTCTGCTGGCAACTAACACTGCCATTCTAGACCTGTTGGCTCATTCAGCCTTCACATCTGGGTGGGAGGTTGGCTATGGACTTTAGAAGTAGTGCACCTCTATCAAAGGGAAGATTGAAAAACTTCACCTGTCATGAAAGCAACGTAATACTAATATCGGCTGACAGGATTTTAAGAGTATTGACTGGGGGTGGCAAGGGAGCCCCAGCTCTGAATTCCCTAAAGCAGAACAGCTTTCAGTCAATGCTGAGTACTCACCCTGAATACCAGAAGATTTTAGGAATATTCAAAAATTGAGATATCCAAAGTTGTTAAACATTTGAAAATTTTGCTTGTGACCCTACTGCTGAAGCAACAGTTTGTGAAAATGCATCTTAGACTATTAGGAATTCTAATCAAGGGTTTTAAAAAGAAATTGTCCATCTATCTTAAGGTGCGTCTTTCTGTCACACTATTCTCTGATGACACGGATATGATACATTACTAAAAGGTTAGTCTTATACAGAGTTCAAAATTTAGAAAAACTGTTATATCTTAAAACTCATTAAAACTTACTTACAAAAAGCTTCTCTAAAAAGCACGTCTTGTATTTTCTAATGAAAGTGCTTACACTCCTATATCAGAGGATGCAGAGATCAACACTCAGCGAAGTTTTTCTTTCAGAAAATTCTTTGTTATAAAATATGAAGTGGGTTTTACTGTTACGTGATCCCTGATTTTTACTGCTCACTGAGTGTGCTTCCAACCTGATTAAAGGTTTGATGTCTAAATGTCCAGTACAGGTGAAACACTTTGGACAGTATCCTAATACGATAATGCTTTTTTGTTTCTATTTTTTTACAGTTCATGCCAACACAATATTTTTTCATACAAGTAAAAAAAAAAAGGCATATTTTGGTGCAATAACTAACATATCTATTTTTCCATGTACCTTAGCGAAGACCCAAGTCTTCATATCAGAACATTAAAATACGTTGCCATTACAGTCTTTTAAGTAACTATTTTCATACCTATCATAGCTGATTGTCTCATTATGTTTTTAAATAACTTATGTGTTATCCAAGGTGCAGAAGTACGTGTCTGCTTTGAAATAAAGAAAATGTAACGTGTTGTGCTTTGCATCTATTTTCAACACCAGAAACTATACAGATGTAAGTAAAAGGTGGAATCTCTTTCCCCATCCAAACTCTAAGACCTTCTATCTGGGCCAGACTTTGATATTTGCCCCTTGGCTGGGAATCCGCATATCCAACTTCACACTTAGCTGCAGTGAAGTAGCCCTGCAGGCAGGCCAACTTCAACGAACCACTAGTGGTATCATCATTAAAACCCTGCTGAAGGTCACCATGGAAACCGCCTGCTGAGGCTTCGCTGCTGCACTCGGCATCTCCTAATCAGCTACCATGTGAAATGCAAATTCAGACAGTCTGAAAATTAGTCAAGAAGAATAGAGGATGAGGATGCAGATATGTGAAATATTCATGCGCTTCATAGAAAAAGGAAGACAGCATGAATGACACAACAAAGAACGGCCCCTGACATTCTTGCTATCATTTTGCATTATTGTTCACACCCTACTGTATTTCCAGGCCTCCAGTGCTGAAGTTGGTTATATGAACTGCCATATTTATAGTCTACAATAAATAATAATTAAAAACAGCCTAAGTAAAATGACTAATTGGAAAACCCACAAAGAGGTAGAGTGCATAAATTACATCCTTTGTAAGGTCACCGAATTATCTTTTTAAGTCCCCCTTTTTTTTTTTTATAAAAGGGGAAAAATTATAAATACACTATAAATACAAAACAAAACAAAATACTGGGCAGTAATCTTTTATTAATAGTCCAATCACTGTCTTTAAATGTAAAAAAAAGTAAGGTTCAGAATTACAGCCCCTACTCTATAAGCAATATTGCACAATGCTTTATGTTTATTAAAAGTATTTCAGTGCTCATGTTTATTTGCGTTTTCAAAGTAATCTTTAATTCATGCAGGCTGAATTCAATTAGAATTAGTTATTAATGTGTGTTCTTTGGTTTACAGCTTCTATCAGTTTGCCCCGTTCTTTTCAAAGTGGGAAAGTCTTTCAAAACTGGCATCTCAGAACATTAACAAGCAAACATTTATATTTTTTCATTCTGTTACTCGCACTATGAAAAATATTTAATTTATTTTATTTAGTTTCTTTTCATTTTAGAGCTTAAAAAAGCAAGTATCCCCCCTTAAATGTATTAATGACAGTAAAGAACTGTTACCTATCAGCTTAAAACAAACACGGCTGCGATACGCAGGAGTGTATTGTTCAAATTCAATTATATTATGCTTGCCTGTATTTCTCTGAAATTTACTATTAGTGTTGTCAAGAACCACTCTTTCTCACAAAAGAACTGCCGTTCAATTGCATCGAATGGCACATCGCAGTTTTATAATGCAGACAAATGGGAACTAAACAATTCATTTTTACTAGTGAGTTACATTACATCTATTTTAATGCAAGCCCCTAGAGAAACAAGGCTAGTGCACTAATTTACTGTGCAACATAAACTTGTATAGTTGTGCTTTTAGAAAAGTATACTATAGGTGTAAGATTCAATCCCATTCTGGCATGCAGAACATATCATTGTGCATTCTGGGAAAGCATTTTCTCATACTTGCAAGGAAGCTCAACGAACTTAAGAAGCTAACGGTATGAGGTTTCCATCATTAATCCCCCAAAATCTAAAACCACATCAGAGACTTGTTTTGACAGGAACAGTTGAGTGAGTTCAACAAGCAAACATTTATGGGCATAATCTGCAAATAACATAAAAATCACACGAGTTCATTTACTTCCCTGGAAGTGCGCCAGCTTACATAAACTGAGGATCTAGCCCATGAATAGGAAAACTACTTACTTCCTCTGAATAGTGATCTGAAGGGAGAGGTGGGTAGTCACACTGTTCTATCTTCTTGCACAGGGAGTACAAGTTCATTTTATCACCATAAAAGGGACTCTGCAGTGCAGCCATCTGTTTAAAGAAAATGTACAGTTTTCTTTTGTGTTTTTAAGTAAACCTGTTTTGTCATAAGATCTGTAATACTAACAAATGAAAAGTGATTTTTAACGACTTTCAGTTCCCCGTTTAGAAGTGTCACAATGCCTAAAACAGAAGTTCCAAAACTATTACTGTAACCAGTGCGTGTACTTATTCTACGTTGTACGATTGTACCTGTCACAATCCTTATATTGCAGTACTTGAATTGTATACCATAAGTTTTATTAATAGAGTATGAGAAAAATTGAGTCGTATCCGATTTATCTGTGAGCATGGAGGGTCCTTGCACCACGAGGGAGACAAGAAAAAGAAACCAAACCCCACAATTTAATTTTCCTCTGAAGACCTTTTGGAAAAAAACACATCACTTATTTGAAAACACTACCTGATCTAAAGCGATACCATATGGTGAAAATGCTGGATAACAGCAGTAGACTTTGTAACCTTCCATAGCTATTAATAGACTTCGATAAAGTTTTTTTATTTAAAGCAAGAAAACTAAAGGTAATGTCTATACTTCCAAAAAAACCCAAACCCAAAAACTTTGTAATTCAGGATGTTATTTGAAAACACTTTAAAAAAAAAATCCCAAAACGTCACCAGAAGTGCAGAACTGGCACCCTTGTCTATATTTTACAATTGTAATGCTTAAATAAGAATATCTGTTGGACAGCACTTAAATAAATGATCAGCTTAAGACCAGCATTAGTAAACCTACGTTTTATTTCCAGAAAGTGTTACAACTTGACACTTAAGGTGGAAACAAATGCTATGGTTAGCAGGATTACAAATTTAAAAATTCATTTAAAATCTTTCCGTTCTGTTCAAAGCCTTCTAAGTCTTTGAACCGCAGCAGCACGAATGCTGCTTTGAGTGCAGTGCTGCCCCAAAGTCAGTCACCCTTTTCTACATGTGCTAATAAGTTTGATTTTGGAAGGACAATGTGTACATTCCCCAGACAGGCAGAGTGTGTGTGAAACACGCTAGTCCATGCTGTGCTACTCAGTGAGCTTCAGCAGGGACAGGACAAGCTGAAAATGGCTCTCATCTGTCTTGTGGTCTTCCAGATAGCAGTTTAACTCTTTCACGTCTTAGCACCGACAACACTGGGGGAAAATGCATGAAGAAAATTACCAAAATTCTCTTACATTTAGTTTATACCTGATAAAACCACTCTCAAATAACTCGGTACTTTTTTCATATTACCTTCAAGTAAGAATAAATCATTTTAAAGCTCCCAAAACAAATACCATACTACACTTCATTCCTACACAACTCCCAAAAATTCTGTATTACCAAAATAATGTTAATTTTTGGATTTACATGACATTATCTCTTACCTTAAAAAGAATGTTAAAAATGCAAGCTGAAGGCCAAAGAAGAAAAGGAAAAAAAAAAAAAAAAGAAAAATCAACTGCAGGGTCTATACGCATGCAGAAATTCTAAATAAATGCACAGATACTCATTTTCGTACTCTAGGTGTTCATTAAAAGGTACTTTTGTTTGAATGCTGCGGAGTGTTAAAAAAATTCTGAATGTCCCCTAAGGAGTTAAAACAGGAATACTATATTTTCATGCATCTCCTGCTTTGACAGATGAAAAATGTCAACTGTCCTGTTTTTATTTTCAAGCTTTTGCACTATTCATCTGGTTCATTAGTGCATCTCGCTGCTGCCCCTGACAGCTGCTCGCCCTCTCCTCCCAGCAGCTGAATTTTTCAGGCTAATTTGATCCTCCACACTGAGACGATCGCTAGAATGATTGACTTGCTCCCTGACCTCCAGGGTCTGACTTTCCTGATTAGTATTCTGGGGGTGTCTGAGGGACGAAAGCCCACTGTCTGTCTTCGGGGCTGGTGGCAGCTCTCTCTCTCTCTTTTTTTTTCCCTTTTTTTTTTTTTTTTGAACTGTAAGCCACCAACCTACAACCCTGTAAGGATGCAATTGCTACGCTGAACAATAAAAGGAAATGTGTAAAACCTACTTTTCCATGTAAAGGTCCATGTAGCAAAAGCACAGCATCTTGATTTTAATTAGTAAAGTCTACTTTGTTGCATATCAATTAAAACTCCAGTGGTAGTGTTTTTGAGGTTTCAGAAATACCCAGAGCTCTAAAAAAAAATCAGACTTTAAAAAATACTTTTAAAAATCTTACTGGCCACATAGTTAGCATTGAATAATAGACTGTAATATAGTTTAGAAATAATAATTTTTAAAAACAACATAGATTAGAGCAAATTAGCCCAAACTTAAATTAAAACATAACTGAAAAGAGTTTAGCAGCAATTAAGCATTTATTGAGAAGTGATAAACATGCCACATCTTTCTCCAATTAAGCTGGAGACAATCCAGAGTACATATAAGCACATACCAACATGAAATCAACATAATAAACATGCTAAAATGCAGGCAACAGACACGTCACAAAAAGACACCCAGCACAAAACTGCACGGATAATAAAACATGCATTAGTCCATGCATGTCTTGAAGAACCTTAAGTAACCACTTTCAAATAAATTAAAAAAAAAAAAAAAAAAAAAGAGCGAGAGAGAAAAATGCTAAGCATATATTTTAATTTTATGATACCTAAAATTTCAAAATTACATCTCAATGATCAAAAAAAAAAAAACCCCAAAACCCCAAAACTCAAACCACAAACATCTGGTATGTTGTAGAATTAACTAAATGGGATAAATGCACCTCTAAAAAAATTAAAAATTACAGTGGAAGAAGTTGCTACATATTAACAATAAGTATCCAAATGATTACTTTATTCTTAAAATAAGAAAAAAAAAATGAACACAACATCGTATCAACTTAAACACCATTCTGGTAAAACTTCTAAAATAAATAGAGAAAACGAATGGTATTTAAAGATGCTGAGTTAATCAATGGAATTAAGATACTTACCTATTTTGAAATTATTTAACAGATCAAAGAAAAACTTAATATTCACATAGGTGTTTAATATACTGTGCCAGCATCAAAGCAACAAGTTCAAAAAAACCTCTTTTTTAGAAAAGTGCTATTGATTTCTATCCAACAATTTTATTTCATATAACATATAAGAAAAATTAACCTTAAAACATGTTTAATTTATATAATAATTAGCTATTCAGAGGTTTTATTTGTTTGTTTCCAGATTTAAAAAAATCCTCAAGAAAACCAATGAGCAGAAAAGAAGTAGTAATACTGAAAACCCCTCATCTACCTTTATATTATCCTTAGGCTCCTGCTCCCGCAAGTGTGTGAAGTGGAGCACTGAAACCGATGGCAGTTGCCACGGTCAGTACTAAGGAATCCCAGTATGGGATTAAGTTTTAGTTCGGCATTTAAACTTCAAAATACTCGCTGTCAGGTATAGGACTTCATTCCTGTGAACTGTCCCAAAGATTTAGAAGCAGCAGATATACACAGGTCCGTAAACTCTGCAGAACTGCACTATAGCTATTTGCCCTTTTAATATTTAAAGCAACATGCTAGTGATCGAAAGCAAACCAATATTACTGGAGACAATTCACCTAGTAGTGGCATACAACTTTAACAGGCTGACAATGTTTTTTACAAAATGCTAAACTAACAGGAGGTGCCTGTTAGTTTAAGGAGTATGTGTTAAATGAGTTCTGCTGGTTCACTGAGGCAGGTGGCTTGCAGGTAAACAAAAAGTGAGTTGGGTATTTTAGCTTTTATCTGGAACACGACTATAAAGACTTCTCTGCCACTGCTGATGGAAAGATATTTTTTTTTCACCATACTTCAACACAAGTGTTTAGTCTTTTGATCAACAAATGACATGCAAAAAAATTTGAAGACGTAGTTGCCTTAGAAGGCTACCTGCTCTTCACACCTTCATTCGCCTCTATCTCAATTTCCCCTATATCTTTATTTTCTCATAACATAGTATCATTTAAAATTATGTGTCACCTACCAATCTTGACCATATTAATACAGAAATTAACCAATAATTATAGTTTACCCAACTGAAGAAGAAAGAGTAGAAAAATTACGTATGTTTGTGCAGCAGAAGTCATTACCTTGAAAGCTAATCCAAGCTAGTAGTAAGTACACAGTAACCTTTCTTTTATTAATTAAATAATAATTAAAACATTAATTGTTTTATTAATGTTTTAAATAATTTTAAAGAAATTAAACTTGCATTAAAGTAACTATATTGCAGTTTTGGAAAGTGTTAGTTGCATACTCAAGTCAGTCCTACCATTTCTCAATGTATTTATTACCAAAATCATATAATCAGCATAAGCCATTAAAACACCTAGAACAATTTTACATGTGCTTGCCATTATTCATTTATTAATTCTTCAGTTATGCCCAATCTTCAACAAATTGCTGTAAAATCTTTGTAGCAAGCCCAGTAAAAGGCAAATCCTGAGTAACACACAAATACAAGGATTTCATATGCTGAAGTTACGTAAGAGTTCTCATTGCTAATATTAAGGACAGATATATAATAGCTGAAAAGTAGCTTTTCCACAATGTTGCATCCTTTTCTAAACAACAAAAAATACAGAAATAGATCCTAAAACAGTACTTAATACATTGGGGAGTGGGAGACACAACACTTAAGTTCATTGTGTGTATATATATATATATATATCAGTATTACCTCATACAGCAGACAGCCTAGAGACCAGATGTCAGATTTGAAGTTGTAACCATTTTCGTGTATTCTCTCTGGAGACATATAATAGGGTGTACCAACTGCAATAAATACACAAGTATTTTTGAATGAAAAACTCTGTTATTATATAGTATTAAAAGTACAGTCTTCCCGGCTAAAAAACATTTTTCATCTTCTGTATTTCTCATTTTGCTACATATATAATTTCAATTCATTCTTATGACTTCAGTTTGACAGAAATACACAGGAATTAGGTATCTATTCCATTCAATGTGGCTTTATTTTCACTACTGATATCTAATTACCAGATTTATTCAGTTGTAGAATACTTCTAATTTTTGCTTTTAAAGAAGCTCGAAATTAATTATTTTCTTCTGAAGAGAACCAAGGGAACATACTACATGCACACACATATATATCTCTTCTCCTTTCCAAACTGTTATCACTGTGGCTGGAAATAACAACAGCTACAAATTCTCCTCCATGGCTTGAATTTTATTTTATTTTATTTTTTAAATGAGTTGTCGGTTCTTCCTTTTGAGAATAGAGAAATCTGAAAAAACTGCTTTTGAAACTAATAAACACAATTTAGTTTGAATATCTGAAACTAAAATTGAGCCTGAAATCCAGGATCCCAGAGAAGAAGGTAGGAAAACCTGCAAGCCCAGCAGAAGCCAAGGTTCCTACGCATGACTCGGCCATCTGCTGCAGGACTAGACTCTGTGAGGGCTTTTCAGCTCCCAAATCTGTGGCTGTCCTAGCTTAATCCTGCCTCAGAGCTGTGGGCTCTGGAGACGTCTGCTCTTGAAAAGCAGCATTTACTACGACTGTCCCAGAGCAAATTTACATTGGATACTCCAGGACATCTCTCCCCTTGATTTTAACCAGACCCTACCCATCTGTGTTCCAAGCTACTTGGAAGAGAGAAATTCTGAGAGATGTTCCAGCTCTGTAAAAAAAAGCCATTAAAAAAAAAAAAAGTATCTGACTGATGGGTTCATATGTGACAAATCAACAAAAAAAGAAGTAATGAAAAATAAGGGTAGTGGCAATTTTGGTGCATTGTCTCTGAACTTTCTTCCTATATCCCTGCAAAATGACTGTCTAACAGCAAAAAGAATCACAGATCTATGTAGATTTTTACCTCAATTTTGTATGGAATTTTTTTTTAAACACCGAATCCTGATGATGAAAACCAACTGAATTCTGCCAATTCAAGTTGACCTTGTTTTGAAACAAAATATCTTGCAACACAGCCAGAGATTAAAATCAGCACTCTCATTGCAAACTATGAAAATCAGAGCATGAACCTCACACTGTTTTATTTAACACAAAGATCTCATGTCACTTCAGCACTTCTGAATTAGGGTCATCTATTCAGAATTCATCTCTGTATGAATACTGGAAACACAGCTATAGCGAATACGTAATTCATTCCAAATCTGAATAATCAGGTTAATAATTAATCAGATTAATAATTTTTCTCTAATAATTTCCAAAAGTTAAGAGTTTTGCTTTGACAATGTGCCCTATCTTTAGAAAGGCTAACATCTCAAACTACGTCATACTTTCTTAGGGAGGAAGGGAGGTCAGGCCACTGCTTCTGGTAACCCACAATGTCAATGTTGTTTGTCAAGGAGATCAGTTGAAAACAATATTCCAAACCAACAAAAAGTAAGAATATGCTTCTCTAACAGATATGCAAGGACAGAGGTCCCATATTACATCCTACAATGGATGTGGCCCCCTAAATATTTCAAGAGAGACTTCCAGCCCCAGGAAAGTGGAGGGTGCTGCAGTCCCTCTCCCCACAGGCTCCCTGAGGAATCACTGCAGCTCTGAACTGAGACTACAAAAGATCACGAGCTTAGAAAGAGAAAAGCTGGGGAAAGGCAACTCAAAATGACAGAGTACTGTGAAAAACATTTACTCTCACAGAATGTTCGTATACACCCACAACAAAGGAATGGTCAAGTGAGATGGTCTTTTCTCTGTGAGAGAACAGGCACGCAGATGGGTGGCCTGCAACACCAAAATAGCTACCAAAATATCCAGAAGCAACTCTGTTATTCCAATGTATCAACAGCAATAGTTTAATGGGTATTTAATGACAACTAACTTAAAATTGGAAACCGTAATTTAACAACATTTGGCATGACATGGCTTTCATATTTTTATTACTCTTACTGTTGTACTTCCCTCCTGAGTATTTCTTCTTTTTTTTTTTTTCTTTCTTTCTTTCTTTTCACTCCAAGCAGTTGTGAACTTGGACACCTCTGAAAACTTTCAGCTGTATAGCTGTATTTTGCACCAATTAATGAATGCACTGGTTTAGTATATTCTGATGCTTTGTTGGCAGAATTCATCTAACAACAAAAAAATAAGTTTAATAGTAATCTGGTTCTCAGCTGGTTACAGCAGCACTGCCTTTGCTGCTCTGAGACATCGCACAAGTAGCTGGCAGTGAGTAATGTGCCAGAAAGAATCTTCGCAGAATCCACAGGGGGCAGCTGAAAACAGAGGTTTGAAGGTTCATAGTTTACCAAAAGCAAAGGTAATTTTAACCAGTAGCTCTGGGAAGCCTGCTGATACATTAGGGGTCTGATATGACTGTGAAAGATTGATGATAGTGAAAAGGAAGAACAAATGCTATCATTTTACAGCATTTAGCCTAGTGTAACACCTTAGCTGCAATACAACCTGAAGCCCCCGATGACCAACAAGTAAAAGGAACTGAAATTACAGTTATGTTAGTCATTGTATTACAAAACCAACCTGAAGATCTAGACATCATTACTACTTGTAAACTGTTTTTAACGGAACATGACACAAAAGATTCATTATTCTGACGTTCAGCAACTACTGAAGGCATTGCAACGGTCCTTTAAAACTGTAAGCAATCTCGGTATGTAGTACTGTACTGCTGGCAAGCTACTACCAGATGTGATTATATGTTGTGTTTCCTTCCTCGATCATTATTTTTTCTGTTAAGTGAAATACATCACCACAATACTATAAAGACATGAGACTTTCTTTACTCATGTGAAGACACAGAAGTGGGGTAATACAAGACAAAGACATAATACATTAGGATCCCTACATTTTTAAGAACAAAATCTGTAACTTCAGCATTCTGTTCACTGCATTTGTACATCTCTGATAACCCGCAGGTCTGAATGGTAATCTCCTTGAAAACGGCCTGGGTCAAATAAACTGCTTCCTCAGAATCTGCTGCTGCTCTGGAGCTCCCTCCCTTTAAAGATGCTGCAGATCCAGAACGTGTTGTTTCTTTATGTGAGCTTTCTGCTATTGGGAGAGGCAACGGACATAATGGAAACGGTGGTTATTAGGGGGCAGGAAGCTGCATCTGAAGGATCGGAGGCAAAGAAAATACTATGAAGAAGGGAGTTATGATATGAACAGTCCATCTTATTACCTGCATTACTCACTGCAGTTAGAGAGGAGAGAGTGTTCACCTGGAAACCAACAATGCATCAAGGAGTTGAATGAAACAGTAACTAGCTCTAAGTACTATCAAGCATTTTTAAGCTGGGAGAAAAAAACTGCCTGCTAAATGTTAGTACTACTAATAGAAAAGAATGTAATGGTTGAGTCAGAAGGTGTTTAATAGACCGGTTTTTAAAACGACCATATGATTATTACTGACATTCCATGCATTGGAACACATAACTATCCAAAGTTCAGGAAGGGGACTAAAATCACTTCAGTAACTCTTCTGATTTTCAAGGAATTCCAAAACAAGGCTTCAGTTAAAAAAAAAAAAAAAAAGCCCAATTTATTGAAGTAATCAAAAGATACAGTTTATGAATGACTTAATGTCCATGAGATCACAGGAATTTTATAACACAGAGTTCAACACAACATCCAAGTGCTTAACAAGATGAATGGCTGATGCTGAAGACAGACAAACTAAGTTACAAATAAGCTGCAGTTATGGAACATTGGGGGTAACCAAGCACTGACACGACAAATTCTCCATAAATTGGGGGGGGTTTATGTATTTATTTATTCTAATGTAAGTGTAGGAGATTTCTAAGTCATAGGCTTGTCTTCAACCATGGATATGGGACCTACAATACTGCACTTATCCAAAGTAATTCTGCAACGTAGCCTACATTATGCAAATAGTCTAACTGCAGAAATCAATCTATAAATATCTTGGGTTATTTTACAATGTAGCATTGTAAAAGCACAATAATTTACCTTCAGCTTTCAAACTGCTGTGAGATCTCAGGTTTTTGAACATAAAATAACAGCTGTTTTAATACAGCTTCTTAGGTGACTGCAATGAATCAGCTGCAGATTTCCCCCCTAGCCTGCCTGTACACTGAGGGTGCAGCTTTTCAGAACAGTTTGGTTGATATTATGAAAGTGGAGCTTATTCTTTTCACAGCAAAACGGTGCTGCATACCACCACCCCAGCACCCTCTGCTGGGTTAGAGATCCATATGTAAGAGGAAAGGAGAGTATCTGCACACGTTTTTACAAGGTATTTTATTCCCTACAACCTGCGTGAGTTTATAGTCAAATCCCTCATAACATAGCTCTGTGCCAGGGACAGGAGTACCACGGAAATGACAGAAGTTGTCAAACCACAGAAGAAACACCAGAATTCGATACAGATGATCATTCGCTTTCAAGCATTTTAAGGATATTGCAGATCTGCTCCTTTGCCCTGCAAGAAGGTATTCACATCATGGCAGCAATGTCTGCCTGGACAGCATACTATGTAGCCCTCTAGCACAACCACACCAGAGAAATGAAGTGATTTATTTTTTTTTGTGATTGAAATACTAAAATATGGACTACCCCTTAAATCCACTGAATGGCTAACAAAGATTTAAAAAAAAAATAATGCACATTTCTATAGGCTGGCCTCAGAATTGCCATTTCATCAAAGAGCATAAGGCCTGGCATTCAGCCATTAAAAAACAACAACAAAAATAAACCCCCTAACGCACACAGTCATGGGGAAACGAATAAGAAGCCTTTTTTGGATCATCTTCCCCTTTCTAATATAAAGTCTTCTAAAATCAAGAAATTTTGTCAAGTTTGTTTCAGATCAACAATACCAAATGCCTCTCTTTCCTTTGCATTTTTGGCAAAAGGATTTTCTATTTTCATAAAGGTACACACACGCCACAATAGAAAATTCTACTGTTTTGATAAGGCTGTATATAGAAAGAGTTAAGAACATTAACAAACCCTGTCCAGTGCAGTATTTTCATTTGTTTCAAATGGACCATCAGCAAGTATTCTAATTAAATCAGTATTATTCATAATTAGCAGTTAGAAGCTGTAGCTAATGAAAATTTTACCACATTTCTTTATCTCTGAAAGCCTGAATCTAGTTTGCTACTGAAATTTTTATAAAGTCTGAAAACAAGTATAAATTGCTACACATAATACGTTTGTAATTCACTGGGTATTGTGCACCAAAGGTTTACAAATCATAAAAAGATACAACTTTGAAAGAAATTTCAGGAAAAGCAGCATCAGAAACTGCATGGCAAATTAACTTTTAAAAGTGGTCTCTGCTAGTGACATGATAAATCAGAGTGTCACTGTCTCCACTGTAGCCTAAGTTAATACCTGAACAAAACCTTTTTCCTAGGCTGAAATCTGACATTAGGTCATAATTAAGAAGGAAATGGAAGAAGAGGAGATGGGGGAAAGAAAATAAAAAATAACAGCTCCTCTACCAAGACACAGAACACAAAATTAGAAACAAAGCTTCCATCCCCGTACCCCTGCTCTCTGGATGACTCCTGTATTTCTAAGAGATGAGCTTTAAAGGGCTTGGGGGTTTTACACTGTTTTTAACTCTATCTCAGTCTTCAGTCCCTTTGCAACAATTCCCCTGCAATGAACCAAAATAACCCAGGGTTGAAGCAGTTTATTCCTCTTTTAACTTCCTGACTTCTGCCTCAGAACACGAGTGTAGCTCTCCCACCCTCACAACTGACTTTTGCCTTCTTCATGTGCTCCCACCCACAGATTAGGATTTACAGCTTCCTGCAAATACGGTCCAGGAGCAGCTCCCACTTCACACTGCTCGTTTGCATCCTTCTTCCATTCGCAGGCAGTAGCAGGACCCACCTACGACAAATAAGATCTCCACAGTGTTGCCAGAGATGGCAACTGGGCTCCAATGGCAGCACGAACAGCAGCGCTATGCCATGAACTAGTATCAGATCTTTACGGTTATATCTGAACTTCGAAGTGAAACCCAAGCACATTTCCAGTCTGGTCTCACTGCTTCTCCTCTGTCTCTCTTTCCCTCTCTTTTTTATTAATGCAAGATCGCACATCTGTGTCTGGAGTTTCACCTCAGTCCTATTAAGACCTCAGCAGTTACTCATGACTTCACCAGTATGAGTATGCACCAAAAATGATAAAGAGAGGAAGGTGCAAAAGAGTGACCAAAAGCTTTCTGGAAGACAGGACGGTACGGGTTGTATCAAGAATTCCCTTTCTAAAATAGTTTTTTTTCCAGCTGTTAACACAAGTATCGCCCACACCTCATATGTGGTACAAACATGATGAACATCAATCTTCTCTTCTTTTCCAACTGTACTGATAACTGGGACTATCTGAATAAAGTTAAATTAAGAGGTGATGATAAATATGGCATATTTTAATCCGAGACGACTGATATTTCATAGTCTAAGTAAAAACATCAGCATCTGAGCAAACACAGTTCTTTGTGTGTCCTCCCATGGCCCTAAGATAGGGATTATAAGTATTACTTAACAATTCTTGGCTTTCTTAGATACTGTCTTCCTTATCACGCACTCGGCAAACATATGAAAATAGCCAAATGCCTAATTACAGAATTGTCACTGTCACTTGTTAAAATTTCTCACTGAGCAGCATTTGAATTGATTTTACCTATCTGTATTCAAGTACCAGTGAGGTGCTCTGCCTGCCTTAATACCATTTACAAGGAAGAAGAGACAATTCTGCACGCTGCCACCAATGGCCCTGCTCTTGAGGGGTCTAAAAGTTCATTTCACACCTTTTGCAGTCAGTGAACAGGCTTGAATTCAGCAACCACTAAACATAGCCACTTCAGCGAGGGAAAAGAAATTTTTTTCTTAACTAAAAAAAAAGAAAAAAATACATAACCATACTATAAAGACTAATTCTTATATTTCTCTTTAAAGCAGATGCTACTCTGTTTACATGGCTTTTCTCTTTTAGAAAGATCCTCTTAGATCCTGTCATTTGTCCATTCCCTACACTTAAAATATCTGCGAAGTTTTTTCTTTTTTTTCTTTAAAGGCTTCTTAATCACCCTAGTCTCCACATGCTCCTTAAAAGATGCAAATTATATGAAAATTTTGGTTTGAAAAAGATAATACAATGCCTTTTTTTATGTGCTAGCAAAGAATAAAGTGGGTATTTCAGAAATTTATTTTCTATTCTTATAAAAATAAATTTTCTGGGATTTTTGTTGTTTGTTTGGGGTTTTTTTGTATATTTGTTTTGTTTTTAAAGTCTTCATGGTCCACAAAGCCTAATTCTAATCTCTCCTTGACTTATTTAGCTTATATTGAGAAACTCCACCTTAAAACAGGGAAGCTCCTCTGTTAGCCCTTTTAAAGCATATAACCAACATGTTGCCAATGCTACCCATACAGGCACACACAATTACTAGATTCTTTCTAACACTGATTAAAATTCATATGAATTTTAAAAAATGCACCCATATTACTAATCTTATTTTTCCTAGCATTTCTAGAAGACACTACTGTCATGAAGATTTGTTTTGAGCCAGGAATGTACATTAAATGATTCAAACAAAGGAGAACGGAAAAACAAAACAAAACTTACTAGCTGTACTGCTGAAAGTGACACCTCAGTGTCACAGCTTTTCTGTATTTGCCCACGGTGCTGACCTTTTTTTATTACTATTATTTCAGAAAAGCTTTAGCTGGACCTAATCCTTTTCTTCCACCTCATAAGTGAGCACAGTATTTCCACCATGTAAAAAAAATCCACCTCCCCACTACCTGTACGTCAGAGAAAGCTTACCTAAAGAATGTGCAGCTGTGGTTTTGGAGCTGAAAAACCGACCAAGTCCAAGGTCTCCAAGCTTTACTACCCCTGTAGCTGTAATGAACACATTAGCTGGATTTATTTCTGGGGGAAAAAAAAAAAAAAAAAAAAAAAAAGAAATTTAAAAGTCACAATGAGGTTGCAAGAAAAGCTACTGCTCTATTAATAATAGACTGAAAGAGGTTTTCACTTACAGCTAATATTAACAAAATTTGAGTGTGCTGTTCAGAAAAAGCAAGTCAGAATTTTAAATTAACTATTTTAAAAGTACAAACATCACTCAAGCAAAAAATTAAAAGCCGTGGAAAGTATTAAAAAAAAAACCCACCAAGCAAACCAACAACAACAAAAACCAAAACAAAACACCCCCAATACCCACCCCACACCCAAAGAAGCATATACAGGGAGTTCGTTACTACTGTATATAAGCTTATATATACATAAGCTTATATATAAGCTTATGGACTTATATATAAGGACTTATATATAAGCTTATATATAAGTCCTTATATGTATATAAGGACTTGCAATAGAACTAGAAAACCTCTCATTACGTCTTAAGTAACAGACCAAAAACGTTTCAAGAACTGTAAAACATATTTTCCATCACTTTTGCTGATCAGATTACCCACAGTGGCATGATGTTATTTATTTGAAATAGGTAAGTGATTCTCTTTAATAGCAGGCATTAAAAAAAGAAGCAAGTTTTACTCAGGAGAATGGTTATTTGAACTCGTCAATGGAATTGGGCTAATCAAGTAGAAACAAAGAAAAATAATGATGTATACCCCAGACAGTTATTTTTCACAAGTAATATTCAGTTTAAGTTTTAATCCAATCCTTTAGAGACAACAGCAAAGATTTTTATTTTATGATTTTTAACAAGGTACCTATCCTGTTAGTCTTCTAAATAAACTGACCTGATATTTGTTTGGCAAGTGTGCTTAGCTCTTACTCAGCTCAAGAGCAATGCACTGTGGCTCTAAACTTAAAGAAAATCACTTAACTTTGGTAAGAGGGGATTATAGTTTGTGTAAGATATGGGTACAGTAAAAGGAATGGTTAATAACCCTTCAAATACCAGCATTTTCAGGTTTCAAATAAAAAGTTGCAAAACCATGAGCTTTAGAGAGGAATACAGAAGCAATTATGTGATGCTGCTATCTGACCTAGTTTTCAAGAGTTTGGATCACCCTTTGTGTAACAATCCAACACGGGTATCAGCTCAACTTAAAAATAGCTTCAATTGTCATTGGTTTTGGTGTGTAACCATGGAATTGTTAGATTTGCCACAGGTTTGCCAGAAGCTTTGAAGGTAGTATTTCAGTTTAAGGAATTTAAACTCATTCTGGTTTTGAGCTAAAATATAATGAAATGAGCTAGTTTGGTCACAAAAGCATTAAAGGATGATACCTATACCCTATGGAAAGAATCTATAATTTTATGTGCTTCTCTTTGTATAATTTCCACTCAGATATCTGTACAAAGGCATAAAAGAAAAAAAAAAAAGGAGAATCACATGAGAAAGATATTTGTAGGTACAGGGGTCATCTAAGATGATCTGTTGAAAGGTGTGACACCCTAGCCACAAATGATAAAGCTCAGAGATCGAGGGACTTCTGCTTTCTTCCCAGCAGAAGGAAGCCACCAACCTAAGACATGTAATTTCACCTGAACCCAGAGAGACAGCCCATATACAACTTGCAACTCATAGCCAGAGGGATTTCCAAGGCAAAAAAAATTGTACATCTGAGAAGCAGCTATACTACAATCTGTTTTCTTTGACTCAGAGTTACAAGGTAAAATGAAGACAACATATGGAGGAGACAGCAGTACAGAGGTTTAAAATGGGTAAGAGAGATTTAGTACCTGACAGGGATAGCTGGCAACTACAAGGGCTGTTGGGACACAGTACTTGACACAGAGACTGGAAATAGCGGAGAGGGGCAGAGAAGGCGAGAAAATGCTCAAGGCTGCACATAATCCAATAGATAAGGGAGTGGGAGAAGGACCTATACATCACCAGAAGGCATGGAAGGAGGCAAATACTTTTGTAAGAAAAAAGGGTGCAAGAGGTGAAAAGAATGGATGGATAGCTGTGCAAGAATGCAGGTAACAATACCTGGGAGATGTAATGGGCAAATATAGAAGAATAACAACAGGACAGAAAATAAGAACCAGCAAAATTAATCGAGCAAGCAAAAAGGGGCATGGTCTCCATCACTTACAGAACTATCACTTATTTTGAAAGCTTGGTATCACAACCCATAGCTGCAAACAAATACCTACTACAACAAATGTACAACTATGAACTTCTGTCACACTTTTCCATTACTTATAAAACATTACAGAAACATATTGTGTCAGATGTCAAAATCGATTCCAATTACGACGTTATTTGGTGTCATTGTCACTGAACCAGCTTAAGTCTCATATAATAAAAGGTTTAGTAAAGACAAATCATCTTTGGTCCTATATTACCTCTATGCATAACACGACGAGAATGCATATGTTCCAAGGCACTGCAAAGCTGAACAAAGTACTTCCAAACTGTTCTTTCGGGAATCAACCTCTTCTGTTTCTTAAAATGCTTAAAGAAAAAAGGATGGACACTGAACATTAAAATTTAAGACTTGCATAAAATGACTGAAAAAAGATAGGCAATCCTTTATTTAAAAACCAAACACAAGAGGCTCACAACCTAATGAATTTCTTGACACAGAAAGCTTTTCCCTTTAATATTAATTCACGTACCATCAATGTATGTGTTTAAGTCAGACAACACATAGAGCCACAAATGACATTAATGAAATAAAACTGCTATCCAAGAAAAAGATTTACATGGTATTTAGCAATCCTCAATGCAAGATTAATGTGGTCAGAATAGCGTAGCATAGAGTAAGTGGCCACAGAACAAATAAAGGTCAGATACAAAGGTATGTGCCACAGAACTTCCTGAACAAAATAATTCTTTACACCAACATTGATTGCCATATCCTCATTTTCTAAACAGAAGAAAAAAAGTAGTAGCAACACACAATCGTAAACAAAGAACATGTAAGAAAAGTTGATCAGAACAGTTTTAGAAACTTCAGCAATACATAAAAGGAGACTAAAGGAACTGTGATTTCTGAAAATTTCATAGTGATTAACTCCTGTTCAAATATTTTCCATCCTGTATAAACAACGCTTACCAATCACTGGTAACAGTTCAATGGCCTGTTAAAGCTTACGTGAAACATAATTATGCTCTGCTACACACATCTTCAAATATTATATTCAGGCACTGGAATAACACTGTCCTCCAAAAACACATACTGAAAACCTGGAAGTCAGCCAATGCTAAAACGTGAAAGTTTGATCATCATAAATTTTACAGCTAAAGGTAAGAAGACTGAAAAAAATCATTGCTTGTTTAGTCTTTCTTTGTAAAGAATTCGTATTTTGGCAGATTTTAAAGTTAAACACACGAAGAAACTACATGTACAACATTAATACTAGCAAAATTTTAGATGGAAAGCAAAGTACATAGATGTATTTTAATAGCATGTGTACACACACTCTTCACACTCATGCACACCTTCAGAAAGTTCATATAACAAACATTTATTACTCTCAAAAAATAAAAATATTTTAATACATTATGTTAAAACGTGCCACTAAGAAGTTGACAGCTGCACCTACACATTACAGAGACATGCAGGAGTATGAGAAAGATGTTTTTAAACTAGCTATAGCAAAATACATCAGTCATACAAAGGATCATAACATTTCACCAAAATGTTTTTAGTATAGGGATTATTTCAAAACGCATTTTCATTTAAATGAAGCAAAGCATATAAATTACTTCTTTAAATATAATTTTCTCTCAGTCTTGGACTGAATCCAAACAAACCCTGTGTATCTGTTCTCCCCATAGCTGGATTTGCATATCAGAGGATTGTTTGATGTCAACAGGAAGATGGAGACCAGGTTTCTTTTCATTTAAAAACAAATACACAATACATGTAAGTATGTGCACATGAAAGCAGAGTTCCTTGATTTAAAACGCATTCTGAAATTATCATAATTATAACTAGGTACTTTATTTAAACATTCTGAATTATTATTTTTTTAACTCAAATCGAAGCACAAGCAGTGATGAAAGGCCATTCACAAAATGTCTGAAATGGGAAGATTTTCCATTACAGACTTCCATTCCAATGTACTTAAAGTACATCAGTGGACTTTCAAAATATTTATGTACAAGTATTCTTTTAACATTTTATTAATTTGCCATCTATAACACTGTAGCTCATTGTACACTGCAAAATCAGCTTCAGTTCTTAGAGCGCAAGCATGCAGTACAACAGCAGTTTTTAAAACGTAATCCTATTCTACTGAAGGCATTAATCATTTTGCATGATAATAATTTCTCATCCTGAAAGGATCAATAACATCATTAACCCTGTAGAATGTATCCATCTAAAGAGGAATGCAAAAGAGAGCTTCTAGATTTACTAACAACATTTAAACTAAACAAAGAAATAAGACAAGATTTTCACTTGCATAGGTTTAAAAATAATCAAATACCTTTAAAATAAACTCACTGAACATTACTTTCTGTAGTAATTAATTACACTATCTTCTTCTACCAAAATACATATTCTCTATGTTTTCTTGGGCTGTTGTCCACCAATAGCCTAAACAGTGATGAAAAGCCTCCACTACAAAAAAAGATTGATTTTGCAAAACTAGCTATTGAAATAAGTTGTATGTTTCTCAGAAACAGTCCAGCAGGCAGCGTTAATTCTGAGAAGAGTCAATAAGGAAAAGTAATCCCATTCCTGTTTAGAACCTTACTTTCTAACAAGTAATATAAGTTGATGGAAAACATGGGCAAACATTTTATGCTGAACAGCATAATTAAATCATATAGCACATATTAACTGTATTCAAAGCAGGATCCTTTTCTCTCTTCTCCATTTTAAAATAGTCCACAATGCAAAATGCACTTCTAATGGTTGTGGGGTTTGCCTCCCTTCCTATAGGGAAGCCAAAATGCAGAGGACATGATGCCAAACCAACAATTTTTAACCTGTATTGTAGCAGAGCTTAGTTGCACCGCAAACAGTTCATCCTGAAACTAATTCACAGCCTAGTGCTGTAGTCTTGAGCATCCTAAAGTCCACATAATCAAGTTACCTTAATACAGTTATCTCCCATTGTATACAAGTTGCTATTACCTGCCCAAATTTGACCTTAAAGGAATAGAGCCTGACATACAGCTTTCTAAAGTACTCCCATTTTCAACATTTTACTGTTCTGCTTCTTCCACGTGTCTGAGGCTCAAAGGACAGTCCTGATGTCCCCTCAGACCACAGACCTTCTAGGGTATGACACTTAAAAAAAAAAAAAAAAACAACAAACCCACAAAATAATCCTCTTTGAGGTGAAAGATCAGCCTCAACAGTTAAAACTAGGCAAAAAGGGAACTGCTTGTATATATGCATTGAAAATTTGGGCAGTGCTGCAAGCTACTGTTTTATCAGGTAAAGAGAGAATACCAGGCATGCTCAGGCAGCAGACTGTCTCCCAGCAAGAATTATTTGTTTCAAAAGCCATATCCCATGAAATTTCCATCACTGCCTTTGAGAACAGAATCACAAAAAAAATACTTGGAAGAGTTTTCACAGCGTCAGCACAGATAAAACTGCAATTCAACCACTTAATGCAACTGGAAGTTTGTGTGGTCATAAATTTGCTATTCAAATGTCATAAAGAGCTTTGAAGTAGGCAGGTTGTATCACCAGTTTGTCTTTTTGTCCCTTTTCACAGAATGACTGAGCAGTTTCGTTACGGGAAAATGGAACTCCCCTGGTTCTCTCTCATGAATTACTAAACAAAAAACTAAATAGTCTCCAAATGTTTCCATCCTAGTAAAGTTAAATATAGCTGCCCTCCAGATAAACAGCATATGCCATTCAGCTTCTTGGAGACATTAAAAAAAAAAAAAAAAGGTAGATGGGGAAAAAAGTTTAAAGTAGTTTAAAGTCAATGTAAAAGCATGGAACTATATTATACTGACTTTCTAAAGATGATGCTTTAAAGGTCAAATTCCAAAACCAAAAGTGACAGCAATTAGCAGATTGTCTTACCCAGGCTTAACAAGCACAGTTCAGAGAATACTCTTAAAGGAAATACGCAAGACTATGGCTTTTAGAAGAAAACTAAGGATTTCCTGCAGATGAGTAAAGAACAGCGAGCATAGATGATTTCAATACAATTGGAGATTTCAGATATGACTGCCTACGTCTCAGTAACCATGCTTGGAAAAAAATTAGCATTCAGTTCTGATGTTAGTGTCTCAGAGGATTTTAAGGTGTGACTTAGCCTGGTTTAGACGTCACTGAATATGAAAAAAATAGGAATAAATAGAGATTAAAAAACCAGTGAGTGTTTAAGAAGCAAACTGGACTATAAAAAGCAAGAGGTTTATGAACATCTCTTGCAGAGAGATGATAAACTGATCATCTAAATTTTGCACAGTCATTATTTAAAAAAAAAAGTCTGTGAAACTGTCAAATGACCCCACAAGAACATATACTGGGATTTTTCACTGTGCATGCTCTAGGCTAGAGTTGCCTTCTGAAAGAGAGGATTGGGGAAAAAGTAAAATGAGAATAATAATTTCCTTGCTTTGAATAGATTCCCTTTCCTTTTTTACATGTTTTGATGAGGATCTTGATCGCATCTGTCTGTTCTCATGACTTCACTTCTGGCTTATAAAAAAAACCCTTTAATATTTTTGTATTTTATTGCATAGACTTATCAGAACACAGTGATTCAACAACCAGATACTTGTGGGAAGAAATCTGAACTTCATCAAGAGGAAAGTGATGCAGAAAGGATTATTACACGGAACTTCTAAGTTGCACATAATGAAGTTCTTGGCCACTTCTGCCTGTGTTTCTTTGGGAGTCTTTTTTAATATAGACTAACAGAAAGAACAGAGAGAGGAAAGAGGAGGTCAGGCAGCTGTAATAGGAAATTACAGAAACACAAGCAAGACTTCTCACTCTGTGAATACAACACAGACAAACCCAAGCTGCCAAAGGCATGCAGGGTCAAAAAGAAAGACCAGTGAAGATGGACCTCAACATCTCTGCATTTTGGAGTAAATATCAGAGACTCATGTATATAGAATTGAAGTTTCTACGTAAGTCTTAACTTTCTATTTAAAAGGCTATATAATTCCAGTAGGAAAGCCGTGTCCCAGGAGTTTTGTCTGGCTCTGCTCATTCATTAATTCAGCTGCCCATCTCTTTAAATCACAGTACGTTTGCTGCCATTTTTCCTTGCTTTCTATGCAGAACAAAAATATAACTTTCCACCACATCTTGAACCATTCATGCAATTTGATCACAAGGTGATCACATCTGCATACATTTAAAGAGTGACAGCTGTCTCCTGGTTGTAAAAATCAAACAAATACAAAGAAACCCCAAACTACTTGGCACCTACCAACTGAACATACAGAAAGTAACAAGTACTTGGACAATAGTGACTAATGATAAATAAATAAAAATTTATCTGCTTCTTTTTCCAACT